ACACACACACACACTCTCTCTCCTCTACACTCCGTGATTTTTATTTTTTTTATTTTTTATTTTTGCGATTGGCTCACGCTGTGTCTGCCATTTCATCGTGGTTGTTACTGTTGTCGTGCAGGGCATGTCGAAGTCATCGGCGCTCAAACACCTCCAGGAGGAGATCAAGAAACATATTTCACGATTGAGGGGACGCGGGTAAAGAATGTGAAAAAGGGCTCGAAGTACTGGAGGTGTAACTACTGCGACTGGCGGTTGCAGTGCGAGGCTAGAGGAGTTGGGCCCAACAACATGCCGACAGCCGCAGGAGGAGCTGGTCCCAGCAACATGCCGACAGCCTCAAGTCATGTACCGTAGTTTCCCAGCTCGCAAGTCGGTGGTGCAGGCGTCACTCGCGAGACGGCCACACCTCAGTCCACTTTCGGCACCGTTCTTGGGTGGAAGCCAAGTTCGAGGAGGCCGCTGAGGCAAACTGTGATCGAGAAAGCGGACAGTGTGATCACAATGAATGAGTGGACCAGCCAGTTCCTCGACCGGTTTCTGATATGCACCAACCAGCCATTCAGCTTGGTGGAGGACGTCTACTTCCTCGAGTTCCTTCAGGTCATGAGGACGGACCATCCGACATGGATGCCTTGCAGAAGGGACGAGCAGCGGACAAAGAGGTTGGACGCAGAGTATGCACGGGTAGGGGCGGAGGTCCGTGCGATATTAGTGAAATGGAAGAAGACGGGGTGTATGCTGCAGATGGACGGGTGGTCGGACCGCCGCAACAAACCGTATTTGAATGTGATGGTGTCCTCGCCCGTCGGTACCGTGTTCTGAAGGTCCGTCTGCATGGAGGGCAAGGAAAAGGATTCTGCAGCGTACTTTCGAGTGTTATAGGTGATTAAGGAAATCGGGGTGGAGGCAATCGTTGGCGTTGTCATGGACAACGCGAGGGTATGCGTGAAGGCAGGGAAGATGGTGGAGGCCGCCTATCCGACCATCTTCATTGTCGATTGTACGGCACATGCACTGGACCTGGCGCTGGAGGACATGTACAAGGAAATGCCTTGGATGGCGCAGGTCGTGGACGCCGGCAACAAGGTCGGCTGTTTCTTCTCGAATGTGGACAAGGCAAAGGGCCTTGTTCCACCATTACTCCCCGAAGACAAAGCTGAAGCGGCCAGCAGCAACCAGATTCGCAACCAACCTCGAGATGCTGCAGTCGCTGAAGGAATTGCGGAATGCTCTTGATTGTTGCGTGTGCGACTCGGGATGGGTGGACAAGATGGTGAGGAATGACCAGTTACTGGCAATGCACGAGGTAACAACAATCGTCCTCGACAAGGGCGACTTCTGGAGCAATATGCAGAAGGCGCTTCATGTGATGCAGCCAGTGGTGGAGCTGCTCCGTTTGGTGGATGGGCAAGGAGCAACCATCTCGAAGGTTTACTGCAAGATGGATCGGGTTGTGCAGGACCTGCGTGCCCTGGAATGGTTGTCAGACGAGGTGCACGAGGCGGTGGAGCGCATCCTCATGCGCCGCTGGGCATTTTTGACAAGCCAGCTACATTGCACTGCAGCCTTTCTGGATCCTGAGCATCGGATGCACACCGCAGATCACGACCCGGAGGTTCGTGCGGGGTTCAACACCTGGTTGTACTCCTGGATGCGTCGACATCGGCTCCACGTGGTCAGCTCCCAGGTCGACCAATGGGTCAATGCTTTAGGAAGTGTTCTCGACGAAGCAGGCTCGCGAACAAGCCAACCACAAACCGCCAACTTTGTGGTGGGAGGCGTTAAGTTCGAAACCCGACTTCCTCGCACCACAAGCGATCAAATTGCTTGGCCAGGCAAGCTCCTATGCTGCCTGCGAGCAGAATTGGAGCTTGCATGAGTTAATCTACGGAAGGAGGCGGACAAAGTTTTTGCCAGAGAGGATGGCAAAACTTGTCTACATCAGCTGGAATGTTCGGCTCCTGAGGAGGATTCAACGCGGCGACGAAGATGACACCCACATCCCATGGGCGGACGACGTGCCGGTGGACAAGGAGATGGAGGACAAGGAGATGGAGGAGTGGTATGTGCAGTGGTTGGAGCGGGTCAATGAGGATGTCGACCGCAAGGAGGCTGTGGAGGTCGACTTCGATGATGACGGAGACGAGATCCCGATGCGGAGAACTTTCATGCGCAATGACGAAGATGACGACAAGCTGGTCGAGGAGGAGGAGACTGAACTTGTTGGTACAAGGCAGCGCGACTGGCACGAGTGCACAAAGCCTGCGAAGCACCGCGAGCAAGAGTTGCGCAAGAGATCTGGTTGCCAATTGCCCGAGCCTGGAGAGTTGTACACAGAGGCGGGCTACGCTCTCGCAATGGAAGCGCGACAGACAGGCACGTGGGTGCAGGGCCGGGACGAGGCGCCAAGAAAGAGGAGCGGGAAAGGCAAGGGCAAACAGACAGTGGTGGATGATGATCCGCCCGCGCAGAGTGGGAAGAGGAAGATTGTTCAGCACGAACAGCCACCACCAAAGAGGGGCCGTCCAACTTTGGCAGAACAGGCGACACGCAAGGCGCAGGAGGCTGAAGACAAGGTTGTTGCTGCAGCTGCTGCAGCTGCTGCAGCAAAAGCTGCTGCTGACAAAGCCGCAAAGGCCAAAGACAAAGCGGCAGCGAAAGCTGCCACAAAGAGTGCAGGTGGAGGGAAGGCCAAGAACTCTGTCGTTGTAAGTGACAACGACGACTTGGATGTCCCGGAAGGAAGTCCGAAAGAGGACGAGCCCGAAGGCTCGTCCACGTCCAGCGACTCAAGTTCTTCATCGGCAGCCTCATCATCTCAGTCCAGTGGGAGCGAAGGCACAGACGGAGATGGAAGTGAGGGAGGGGCCCAGTTCGAGGAGGACGAGGAGGAAGATCGAGCAGAGGCTGAGTAGAGGGAAGCCGTTCGATCTATGAGCTCAGGTATTCGACGCTCCGAGTGCAGCGTTCTGACAATGGTCGTCTTTCAGACTTTCAGACATTAAGCTTCCACGTTCCGAGTTCCAATCTCTTATTTTTGTTCTAGCAATGTACGAATAATAGCGTCGAATATCCTTGCGCCAATCGATTGTTGATTGGATTTGATAGACTGGTTTTCTGTTGTGTTAGTCATTGTTTGTTGTGGATGCTGCACTCAAATTCTTGTTGTGTTCTTTTGATGCCATGTTGCCGCGTCGCTGGACGGATGCCCTGACTGTCATCACTCGTACGTGCATACTCCAGCTGCAGGTGCGTTTCCAAGTTGCCACTTTGCACCCCTCCAACCCCTCAGATTTGTCTGTAATTCTAAAGAAAATGAGAAAAAAAGAAAAGCAAAAGCAAACGGGGTGGATTGCAAGGGGATGGGGGGGTGCTGGTTGCGGTCGGCTGGTGGGGGGGGTCTGGTTGCAGGACTACCAAAGCGTCCAGTTCTCAGACTCAGTGCAGGACTAAAGCAGGATACGTGCAGGAAATGAAAAATAAAAACAGGGGTAGTGCAGGCTGGTTGCAGGTGGGTGGGGGGGTGCTGGTTGCAGTGGGCTGGGGGGGGGGGGGCTGGGTGGAGCGGGTCGGGGGGAAGCGGGGGTAGGTATGTTGTTTTTTTTGTTTTTTATTTATTTACATCTGGGCCCCTGGTGCAAACTCCCGCACAGCCCACAGCGCACCGCACAGCGCACGGCGCACGGCGCACAGCGC